GAGTTTATCAATTAAATACTTTTTTGTAAAGTGACTGTTCTACACAAGTCCTAGTGACTATCGTTCTATTATTAAGTGAATGTTACTTGAATTCTTCTGTGTGTACTGTTCCACATGCCTACACCATAAACACAAAGATTGTTTCTCAAGAGACCAAAAAGTATTCATATTGCTGTCACACCCCTAAAGAATACTGTAGAACTAAACTGAGACTGACCTCGCACTGACTCTTCCAAAAATATCTTTCATTTCAGTCCTTGAAATAAAGGCATATTTATGAATTAGATTCTATAATGCACAACCAATAGTTGTACAGGACCCACAGCTGGTGACCCATAAAATAATTATTGTTTAAGTTAAAAATGAAGACATCTACGCATTGTTAGGATGTGAAGAAAGAATAACAAATGCTTGCACATTAGTAGAAACGTGAATATAAGTAAATATAAAAGGATGTCATGCTATATCAGTAAAATACTGCAGGGCATAAATGGTAATTATGTTTAGCTAAATTCAAGACTGACTAGAGGGAAATATAGGATAGTTCTTTAAGGTCTTATCACACTTTAGTATTAAGATGCAGTCGCATACATGAACTTGTGCTTCTCACAGAAGAAAACAACAATTGAAAAAAATACCATGTTCATGAATCGGTCGGAAAAAAGTACCGAAGTGCTACAGTTAAATTCGCAAACCCCATACTGTTATTTTATACTAATTTCTAGAAAGAAGTCTGTTCTGTGAAAAAAGATGGTTCTGAATTTTATACAGTCAGAGTAAAGTATATTAAGAATCTGGTGTGATGTATGTATACCACAATATGAAGCGTCGACTACAAATGCTTTTAAGAAGTAAGAGAAAGAGTCAAGAAATGAGTCTATTTCTAAGAAAATGTTTTACAATGATTCTCTTCCACACAGCAGACGACTAGTAAAAGCTGGGGTGAACAGTCTAAGTACGAATACTGCAGCTAAAATGGGAGCTAAATGGAATTAGTCATGGGAGAGTTTAATGCAATCAGCCCACAATAGGTATGGCTGGGAGTGAATGGAAGAAACTCCTAAGTCATGTTTAGTCCTGGAAAAGATCTTAGATCATTTAGCCACTAACAATAGGATGGGCCAAATGGCCTCCTATCATCAGAAAGTTTGCTCATTTCCTTAATGTATTTACACTGGACTCTAAGAGATTAAAACTACCTATTTAGCTACACAGCTTTTACTTCCATGCTTTGTGTGCTTTAAAATTTTTTTCATTGGAAAACAATATTGACATGCCCTTACTGAGTTACAGTTACTAAGCCTGTCTCACCTGAGCCTGTAGTGGCATTTTTAAAAGTCAGATTGTGACATGGTCTTGCAAGGTCTTGCAAAAGCATTGTTTCACCTAGGAGTGTCTACTGTGACTAATCAGTTTAATTAGGATTAGGACACATAATATGGTGAGATGTAAATTGGTTAATTTGTCGATCACAATCTTCATCTTTACAAAACACAGCGATGGGGAAACAAATGATCTGTGCTAAATTCTGAACTTTCTATTAAAAGCTGGAAGCTAAGTACTGCATAAGAAATAAATAATTACTGGATTAATACCATTATCTCATTTAAGAGAGCAACACTACATGCTAATTCACTCTGGCCTGCTGCTGTACATGCTTGAAAGCAAGCTAACTAACCAGAAGCACCTGGCTGGATGCAGGGAGTCCAATCCTATAGGGGACTGCACTGTGCAATTCAGTAGCAATATTCTGCTATCAGACAGCACTCTGCTATCTGGAACTCATTATGGCTTATCCTGTGCAGAAGAATATATTGAGGGGACTCTGGTGAAGCAGGTGGGAGTGGACACATTGTTTGAACTACACAGAAGATATTGCTGTTGCTCTGGTATTTATCCCAGTTTCAAACAGAGAGGCAGAGAACCTGGAGGAATACCCACCCCCCTCCTCCCCCCTACATCATCTGCCAATTAAAGAACTCAGTGCAACCAGAATGTCAGGTGCTGGAGGAATGGAAATATCCTGAGGCGCAAGACTACTGTTAAGTCTGTAATTAGAATGCTAACAGCAGGATCAAGCTGGGGAGGGCGACTGCGTCTGCATCCGCGGTTTGAACATAGAGGTATGGGGGTGGGAGTGGCTGGCAGAGGGAGTGACTGCCAAATGTGCAGAAGGCAAGAGGGAGACTGATTGGTGCGTGGGTGGCCAGTGGTAGCAATCTTTAACCATCGTCAGCTTCAATGTGCCTTCAATTAAAAGCAGAATGCCGCAGAAGATTTTTTGGGCCACTTATTCTGAAAAGAATGAAGAAGTCGGTTATCATTTCCAATCCCATATGACGTTCCACCATGTGAAAATATAACGGAACTATCCAGGTTTCTCACACTACCATGTGCGTCTACAGTAGAAAGGATTAGCCTACTGTGCGACGTTCAAGGGGAAGATATAGAGGTACCAGTTAGTTTTTGCCTCCTGTTTTTATGCCAGGTGTTGATATGCACACACATACAACTTCTTTTTCAATGGTAACCCATCTGAACACAGCAGAGCTCTGCATCATCTGCATAAGAGAATAATATCACCCTTCAAGGGAAGGATCAGGATACAGAGACAGTATTAGGATCATTAAAACATGACAGAGATCGTCCCTCCAATGGTAGAGCAGTTCTTTTTCATGACACTGAAACTATGCCTGTGCAAGTAAGATTTTTCAGCATTTTTACTCCATTAATAAACTCCAGAGAGTGAACGCGACGTCTCACAAATCAGTGCAACTGATTTGTCCTACTCATCCACTTGAAAATATTTTTTTTGACAAACTCATCCAGAATCCCATCTTCTGTACATCTCCTGAAAGGAGAACATGCTGTAAAGGTTTGAAAACGTGAAAATGTGGGTATTTGATTGAAAAAACTGAACATTGAAGGGACAAAACATCTTTACATTTGTAGAACAGAAAGGGATACGGTAAAGGCATAAGAACGACACAGGCTGCATGCTGCACACTATTAGAAAAAACAGCTTCCCGTTCAAATGTTGTTTATAATTCAAAGTAATTTACTGGACACTTCCCGTCTGTCCCTTTTGAGTGTTTGAATAGACATTAAAGAAAAAGTACAGGAATCTTTTATATTCATCTGATGCCAGTAGAATACTCGCTGTGATCAGTGTCTGTGTGGAGGAGGTAAGCTTGTTACAATCTGTGAGTGGGCGTATTAGTGTGTCGACAGGCCCAGTAGACTTTACGTGGCAACAGAACTTGTGAGTAGGTGGGTGTCACTTAGATTTCACACTTTCGGCTGAGAGTTCCTTCTACAAGCATTGAGAAGTAGTCCACAGAGAATGTACTGCTTCAGTTTATAAAAAAAAGTGTAGGATAATTTAAATAGCTGTGTGCAAGTGTAAATGCATGTGTGTGGGGGGGGAGGGTGCTGTCAGACGTTTAATTTGTACAATAATCTGTATATTTTATAAGTTAACCAATGAAGAGTGGAAACACTTGTCTAAATCAAACTTAATTCTCAGCGTGAGCTCTACTATGAGAACATAACAACTGCTGGGAAGGTTACAAAAAAGAAAAGGGAACTTGTAGCTAATTTCAGCCTTTTCTTCTGAATATTTGTTATGGCCTCTCTATATGAACATTTACATTTTTAAGGAAGTGAAATCTTTTTTATAATTCAGGACCCATAGTCATACAGGGTATATTCTATACAGCTCTTTAAATATAAAAGAACATGATCCCCCACAGATACTACATAGCTTTTCCACTAATCCAAGACAATAAGGGTGAAAGGAAAAAAAATCTTCTTGTTTCTATTGTGGTTCCAGTAAAAGTCTCTAGCAGGAGTATGGGGTGAGCCAATGACTTGATACAGGCTATACAACTTTGCCCATGCCTGAATGCCCAGTGGAGGCCCAAAACTGATTGAATTGCTATTGTGTGACTTAGTTTAGGGATCCCTGTGTGTAATGCAAAACTGACCCCACAAATGTATTGGTGGAAGCTGCACTGACCCTGGCTCTGGCTTCTTCTGCCTGGATTCTGGAACATTGTGTAGCAGGGTTGACTCCAGTTGGATAGTACAATATTTGAAAAGTGGCATATGAAAAGTGAAACATAGCAATTGTAACCAAAAAAAGCCCCTATCAGGAAGATGAAAAAGAGCATTCCCTTGGCTTACTGCCATTTATATGACCGGTGGTCAAAATTATGATGTCACCCTGAAAAGCAGACATAAACCGCTTTTTGCATCACTGGAATTACCCTTCCTGAGAAAATGAAATCCACCTAATACTCCTTATTTTGCTGTATAATGCTCAAATTTTAGTAAAGTGCCAGCAATCATGAAAAATAGAAGGTTAATTATGCTAATGTATTTCATTATTATCTTGAGATATGTGTCTGATTTGAGATATGTGTTTAACTTGAACAGCTCCTGTCCTTTTACTGCAGTTAGACTGTATATACAGTAGTATGTGTACTACCTCTTTTGTTACAAAAGCACAACAGTGCTGCTCACCTACCATAAGGGCCTTGTGTAGTGAAAAACTGAGTAATACCCTTATTTGTCAGCTGATCTTACTTGGGCCTGGAACAGATGTGGTGGTAAAGTGTGTGAGGAAGAGATCCTCACTCCTGCTAACTTGTGAGACACAATGGCAGTTGGCTTAGACCATCACATCAGAATTGAAGTTATGGTGGCATGGTGGCACACTCTGGGGCCCTGGATTCAATTCTGGAGGTGCTATGTGTGTGGACCTCCCACAGTCCAAAAACATACTGGTAGGTTAACAAGCTTTGAAGAAAAGTGTCCCTGGTGTGAGTGCCCATTAGTGTCTGTATGTGCCCTGCAATGGACTGGTTAAAATGGTTAGAAAACTGATGAATAGATTTGAAGGCTCTAGTCATGGTGGATTTTAAACTGCAGGGTTTTTCAGGATCAAGAGATAGTAACACTGGTCAGCTGAGACAGGTGTGAAAACTGGCTACACTCACCTCCCTGAGACACGTATAGATGGGGCAGACCAGTACCCTGAAGGGCTCCCCTGCGCTGCTCCGCATGGTCCCGAAGACCTCGCACAGGAAGGTGATGAAGCCCAGCCAGCGTTCCACGTCTGACTGCTGCAGCTCGTCCCGGCGGCTGAAGTCCTTCTGGAGACGGACAGACAAGACAGTACAGTCAGCCGTGCCACAAGATCATAGAGCAACAGGCCGGAGGAGTTGGCAGAACCTCTGCACCTCCCCCACCCTGGCCTTTTGGATCATGCTTGCTTTTGTATTTCTGTCACTGCTCAAGCCTTTCTTATTGCATTTCAATACACTGTCACCACAGATGGGAGCTTTAAGATGAAAGAATCTAAGAAGCTGACTGTAATCAGGTTTCCCAAGCAGTGGTGCACAGTTGTTTTGCGCTGTCAGGATACTACAGGTTAGTCATCTAGGTTAATGTTAGGTTAGTGCAACAGCTCCTACGTCGTCAACAGGACCGCAGTGCATTTGTTGCTCCTCTGATCAGTGTTAACTCTCCTCACAGGCACTGTGGGGCCTGGAGTGTGTGAAAAGGTCAATGGCTCTGAAATACGAGCCATTATGTCTGAGAAGCACATCTGCCTGTTCTTGTTATACTCCAGTAGATACAGGAAAGCAAACTCTTCCAAATTCAAATTATTTTATAAGTCACTGGAGATTAAAAAAAAAAAGACAGGAACAAAGAACTGATGCTGATCTAAGTTTCTGCTAAGGAGTGAATAGGTAACTTCTCTTTCTTAGTGCTCATTACATCTGTTCTGAGTTAAAAACCATAAACATAAACCATAAAACTTCCTATCGTCATTGCCAGGCTTTGGACTGGTCAGTCTGGCCTGAAGTAAAGCACTGTCCTAAATGCCTTTTTCATACTCTCAAAACACGTTTGTGGAGTATGGTCAACCACATCTACTGAAGTGTGAATATAGCCTCCTTTTAACTATGAGGTGAAATAAAACAGGGGTATTAAGTGTTGTTTTTTTAAAATGAAACAGGGGTATTAAGTGTTGTTTATCAAATGTGCTCATAAAAAAATAGAGAAGCAAAGCTATTTAAAGAGACACCAGACCTGAGGATCAATCAGAAAATCAGAAAAGGCTTTTCAAAACTCAGTTAACTCAGGTGATGAGGAAAAGAAAAAAAAAACAATTGTTATTACTAAAAAACAGACAGAGAAAACAGGAAAAAAAAACCAATTAAAACGGGTTGCTTTTGCCATATGACTCCTCCACACTCACTACTCCATGGAGATGTATTTTGAACACTGCTGTTATGACAGAATACTATATTTTTCTGCACATGGATTTTGATTTCAAATCTTAAAAGTTTCAATATATTGCAAAGGAACAAGTAATAGGTTTATTCCATGCTGAAAAGAGAAGAAAGAAAACACAATGTTTCAGCCGTGGAACCTTCATCAGTACTTGCCCTCACAACCTGAAGAAGGATCCATGGCCGAAACGTTGTGTTTTCTTTCTTCTCTTTTCAGCATGGAATAAACCTATTACTTGTTCCTTTGCAGCCTACACATTCTGACGCAGCTACCCACCTGAACTGTTTCAATATATTGTTCACTTTGAGATATTCATGGAAATTAAGAGTTGGTGGTGTGATTAACTATTATCTGAAGACAGACTCAGCTCTAACAAGTGACAGACAGAAAATGAGTTTTGGCCACAGGATGTCTAGTTTAGTTTAGGGCAACATACTGTGTATGTAGTGGTGGTTTCTTCTGCTAGCTAGTCTGCACGCAATGTGAAGAAATGCATGCAATGAGCAAGACTGATCCAAATTAGATCAGTACTTTCAATCACCAAACAGACTGAGATTTGAGATATGTTTTTCTTTTTGTTTCCGTTACTTAACCCCAATTTATGTCTGACCTAGTGTCCACAGCTGCATTGTGCAAATATTGGGAGTTTTTCTATTCATCTTTATTCATTAACAAATAGCAATAGATATGCAGTGAATTTGTAAAAGGGAAGGAATTACTGATCTGCCAAATTTAATCTAAATTTGAGCCGATTTTAATTTTTTTTAACCTTAAAGAATGTTTCAAAGAAACAGCTATAACATATACTGCCTATTACCACGAAACTGAAAGTTCTTTGATTGTCTGAGGCTGACTATACTGTACATTAATTTAATAATGTAACAAGATATACTTTTATTTTCATTTGTCTTTTTACTGAATATAACCGGAAAAGACAAATCATTGTTATAAATAACATTTGCATGAACAATAGATTCGACAGCAGATCCCTGTGATATCTGTGAAGTTTCTCCCAACATTTCAGGATGAGGCTTCAATGTTTCAGTTGCCATTAGAATAATAATCTCCAGTTATCAAGCAGAAATCATCCAATCATGAGTAAGAAAGCTGAAGCCTATTGTGGTCATCCCAAAAGCTTGCTGACATTAACTGAGCAGGTGCACTGGGCAGAAAGCCTCTGGAGTAACATGGCAGGTGAGGAACATATTTGGTCTGTCTCTTTTGCTTCGGTTGATGTTCCAGTAGTACGATTAGGCTCTTCAGTGAAAGAAGTCATATGCAAAAACATATTACTTTAGTGCTATAACAGGGTCAATGAACTACCCAAGGATCTACTTTGTAAACAATACCAGCAACAACAAAAATGTAGTATACAGCTCCCTTTGTCACTTCACAAAAAAGCTGAACCAAGTACAACCTTTTCCAAGTATGGCATTTCTGCCACAGGACACAGGACTACAATAAGTGAAAAATTGGGGTTAAGACGTGGGATAGCATTTAACTAGGGCACATTGTAATGAAAGTACTTGCCTCTGTTTTAAGAAGATGAGTGTTAAGAGGGAACAGAAGCAAAGCAAAGAAAAGGGACAGATTATTCACTTTGAAAAGAATCCAAGGAAATGAACCCCCAAAACGTATGAATGTGGTAAATATTTTATCCACCAGTTAAAACAAAATATTAAATTACTTCTTCACTGTGTGGTCTGCAAGAAGGACATGGATGCAGAGACAAATCTTTACTTCCACCCAGTTTAGGTGCTTAAGCTCATGCGCTGAAGGAACTGGACCAGTGGAAAACCTAGGTCTGCTGTGACAGACCTCCCCTGTGGAGTTTGGAATTCAGTGGGTGTTTTTCTGTGCTTAGCTACACTCTCTCTCACCACATCCGGAGAACACAGGCTCACAGCAATGGGGAGAAATCCCGCGGACAGCCCTGTGAAGCTTTCGTGTTAAGAAAAAAAAAGTACAGAAAAGAGAGACAAAAAAGAATGGAGAAACAAAAACACACTGCGTAGCCAGCCACATGCAGCCACAAGTGCTACATTGTCAGTCTGGAACAACTTTAGTCAAAGAGGGAGGTTCAAAAGCTATTGTTTCATCTCCTTGAACAGATCTGAACAGCAGTCCCACTGGGCACTGGAGTACACAAGGACTGACTCAAAGCCTACCTGAGCTGGACGCTCAAAGAGCAGCAAAATCCCAGACAACACGTACAGGAGTAATGAAACTTGGTGGCAACTGTCTTGTGAGCTTCCTTTCAAGGCAATCTGAAGCGAAGCTTTTCATTTGCTGCTGTCAATATCCTGCATTCTGAAACTGTACAGCATCTGTATTCTTAACATTAGTTTTATCAGCTTGTTCCTCCTACACATCCTGTGCTACAGATCAGCACAAGTATCTGAAAACTTGTCCACCTGCCAGCTTTTTCATATTTTTTTTTATAAATCAGTTATTATTAATGAGAGAAATTAAAATATAGCTAAAAGGCCAACGAAGCATCTGATGAAATGGATGTTTTTTTTTCTCAATTAAAGGATCCAAGTATGTTTTGAATTATTCTGTTATGGATTATACAAGTTATATTACCTAACAAAACAGACACATATACTCTTAAACATGTAGATAATTTTTTTCAGGTCCACAAAACAGTGGTGAAAATGCATTTCTAAAGCTTGTGATACTTATGTCTTGCAAAGCTGACCAACCTTCTTAAGAATGTTTCAGTTTCATTCTTCTTTGCTCGTTATACCTCTACCACTCACTATACCTCTCTTGTTACTTAGGAAAGATATTAGGCTTTGTGTAGCTAAAGAATGGATTTCTGTGGGCATGTCATTACTGTACCATGCCAAAGAATATAGTACTATCTGAACAGAAAAGGTTGAACTGAGGTGGTGTAGGTTAATTATTAACACTCACAATTTTGCTAGCTAACTCGTTTCCTTGTTTTTCACCAAAAAGGAGTAATTCAACTATTCTGGATCTTTAGAAACTGGTTATTTAAATTGAATTCCATTTCATACCACACCCCCACAGTGATACAGGCGATTCAAGACCTGCTAGAGCACATGCTGTGAGCCTCTTCTAACTCTACAGAATCAAAATGCAAACCAGAGTGTTTTTCGGGCACTGGTGGAGGAGCTCGCGCAAAACAACAACTTGGCCATATCTTTGCAGCAGATTCATGTTCTTGAGCAAGTGACACAGCCAAGAGTTGAACTGGAGATTCCCAATCTGTAGGACTGTGCCATTAAGGCCATTAAGCATTATACCTGTAGGCTTCTCTAAAATATCAACCTCTGTAGATTTGGGAACAGCTTACTTTCTCAAACTTTATTATTATTAATTTACCTAACAGTGATAGAAAACAAAACAAGTTGCTGTAGCCCTTGAGGAACTTGAGGTGATGAACAGTTATAAGAAATGAGGAATCATGTGGCAAATTTCCAAGTAATACAATTAAGTTTCAAAAATACAATTTTGTATCTTGCAAAGGAACAAGTAAAGATTTATTCCATGCTGAAAAGAGAAAAAAAGAAACATAACATTTTGGCTCTGGAGCTGCCTTCTTGACCTGAAGAAGACTCTACAGCCAAAATGTTATGTTTCTTTTTTTCTCTTTACAGCATGGAATAAACCTTTACTTGTTCCTTTGCATCCTACGCATGCTGACACAGCTACCTACTTGAACTAATTTCATATCTTGTTGTTAAACTGTACACTTAATGCAGTTTGTTTAAAATTACCTTGCAGATATCACTGAAGCTTTTTGTTATGATTTCCAAAAACTCCAGTTGAATAAAGCAACTTGCATCCCTTTATTAAAGCATTCAGCTCCTCTTTTGCTCCTCAA